GACAGTAAAGATGGCAACAAGAAGGGGTGTCATTTGATGTCATGGTCTTCAAAGAGGCTGGGGTCTCAAAGGGAGGAGGAGTAGAAGCTATCTAGAAGTGTTAAGGGGCCAGACCCTGAGGCACCTGGGTTGAAAGGAAGAACAGCCTCCTTAGGCAGGTTTCTGTCAGGACCAAAGGGAAAGAACCCTTCAGGGAAGGTCAGCCATGTTCCAGAAGGAAAGGGTTAGGGAGGTCTGGGAAAGAGGTAAGACTGAACAAGTATTTCCTGTCTGTCCCATGGCAGGCAGGGTGCTGGGCATGGAGGATGCCCTTGGGAACGAGCAGACAGGTCCCTGCCAAGTGCCCTGTGCCCTCCTTTGGATCTGGGCATCTTCTGAGATCAAGGACTGTGGCTTCATGGGCATCTCCCCACTGCACTGGGGCTAGGGGCACGCACGGGGTGTTCAGAAAACGTCTGCTGCACTGACATAATGACACCTCACCCCCATTTATAGTGACCAAGCACCACTGCAGTCCTTTTCAAGCACCTAATCATCAACGTGACCCTCGAGGAGTGAGCTCAGGCGCGTTTGGGAAGGGGGCGAGTGTGTGTGAGGGCATCTCAAGCTGAGTGTTCTGCCTGTGCCCGTAGTCATCTGCCTTTCCCCCTCTTGCGCCCTTGTCCTCCTAGACACTATCCGGAAGATGAAGAACGATTTCCGGAAGATGGAGGATGAGATGGACCGGTTGGCCACCAACATGGCAGTGATCACGGACTTCAGCGCGCGCATCAGCGCCACGCTGCAGGACCGCCACGAGCGCATCACCAAGCTGGCAGGTGCGGCCCGCCCCAGAGCTGGTGCTAAAGTGGGCCACCCCCATGGCGTTGGGGCTAACACCACCTACCCCTGTCCCCCAGGGGTCCACGCGCTGCTACGAAAGCTGCAGTTCCTCTTCGAGCTGCCCTCGCGCCTCACCAAGTGCGTGGAGCTGGGCGCCTACGGGCAGGCGGTGCGCTACCAAGGCCGCGCGCGCGCCGTGCTGCAGCAGTACCAGCACCTGCCTTCATTCCGCGCCATCCAGGACGACTGCCAGGTCATCACGGCCCGCCTGGCCCAGCAGCTACGGCAGCGCTTCAGGTGTGGGCCCTGGGCCCTCACGCCACACCCGCTGGTCTCCTGGGTCTGCCCCCGCCCCGAATTCTGTCTTCTTGCCCTTCACCTCCCTCTCCCTTCCCGCAGGGAGGGCGGCTCTGGCGCCCCTGAGCAAGCCGAGTGTGTGGAGCTGCTGCTGGCCCTGGGCGAGCCTGCGGAGGAGCTGTGCGAGGAGTTCCTGGCTCACGGCCGAGCGCGGCTGGAGGAGGAGCTGAGGAGCCTGGAGGCGGAGCTGGGGCCCTCCCCTCCGGCCCCCGACGTGTTAGAATTCACTGACCGTGGCGGCAGCGGCTTCGTTGGGGGCCTCTGCCAGGTGGCGGCGGCCTACCAAGAGCTGTTTGCGGCCCAGGGCCCGGCGGGTGGCGAGAGGCTGGCAGCCTTTGCGCGGGAGCTGGGCAGCCGCTACTTTGCGCTGGTGGAGCGGCGGCTGGCTCAGGAGCAGGGTGGCAGTGACAACTCCCTGCTTGTGCGGGCGCTGGACCGCTTCCACCGGCGCCTGCGGGCACCCGGGGCCCTGCTGGCTGCTGCCGGGCTGGCAGAGGCCGCCACAGAGATCGTG